AGACACACAGATCAAAGGAACAGAATAAAGCAGCCAGGAAAAAAAACCACATACCTGCAACCAGCTGATCTTCAATAACATTGACAAAAATAACAATGGGGAAAGGACACCCCACTGGATAAATGATGCTGGGAAAACTGGCCAGCCATACGCAGAAAAATGAAATTGGACCCCTATCTCTTACCATATACAAAAATTAACTCAAGATGGATTTAAGATCTAAATGTAAAACCTAAAACTATAAAAATCCCAGATGAAAACCTAGGAAAAACTCGTCTGGATATTGGCCTAGGCAAAGAATTTATGACAAAGATCCTGAAAGCAAATGCAACAAAAACAAAAATAGACAAATAGGACTTAATTAAACTAAAAAGCTTCTGCACAGCAAAAGAAAGGATCAATAGAATCAACAGACAACCTACAAGTAACGCCTCTAACAAAGGTCTAAACCACATCCTACAAGGAATGCAATCAGAAAAAACAACCTCATTAAAAACTGGTCAAAGGACACAAACAGACATTTCTCAAAAGAATTCTAAGTGGCCAAAAACACTTAAAAAAAATACTCAACTTTACTGATCGTCAGAGAAATACAAATTAAAACCACACTAAAGTATCATCTTAACACCAGTCAGAAAGTCAGAATGCCACTACTCTGGTTTACCTTCCTACCTGCTCTTCTGAAGCCTTTGTTATTTACACGCTCTCTCTTTTTCTCTGACTCGCTAGCTGTCTCATTCTCTTCTCCCCATTCCTCCATTACTTTTTGCTTCTCTACTGATTTTCCACAGGCTATAATCATACTCCATTTTATTTTGTTAAACAAATAATAAATATAAAGCCTTTGGTCCTAGATTTTCCTCTAAGTTCTGCCCTCCCCTTCATAGCCAGGCTTCTTAGATAAAGAAGCCCACAGTCACCGTCCCGTTTCTCAACTCTTCAATCCACGTAGCCTGGCTCCTTACACCACTACAACACACTAAAACATTTCTTGCAGAATCACAGTAGTAAATCCAGGGGACTCTCGATCCCCACCTTATTTTCCCCACTGCTCCATTTCACACTATTAACCGTTCTTTTCTTCTTGAGACTCAACTGGCCCTCAACCTCTCTCTTCTGATTCTCCTCCTACCTTTCTGAAACTGTCCTTCTCGTTGCTAGCGCTAGCTACTCTTTTTACTTGTTTTGTAGTTGTTAGGGACTCAATAAAAAAATCTATTTTGGTTCTCTTCCCATTCTAGATGTTCTCCCTAGATAAAACTCATCTATTCCCATGGCTTCAGCTATCACATCCTCGTGGAAAGCCCTAGACCTGAATACGCAGATGTCTAGTGGGCATCTCCATTAGAATATTCCACAGTATCTAAAACATAACATGTTTTTGTCTTATTCTCATTAAGTGTCCTTTTTCTCAAACCGAAACCACTACACCTAGTTACTAAAACCAGAAAACAAAGTTATGGACTCCTTTACCCCTATCTGTCCTCCACATTCAGTCATTGACCAAATACTGAAGAATATGTATTTTTTTGTGACTGGATATCTAGCACCTCCTCTCCACCCTTTCTGGGATGTCTTTACTTCTAGCTTTCACCATATCTTCCCAGAAGTCTTACACTGGCCTTTTATTCTCCAGCTTTTTCTAACAGTGACACCCAATTCATTCTTGCACAGCTGCTAAAACTATCCTTCAAAAAAGAAGGAAATTTGGCTGGGCATGGTGCTTCACACCTGTAATCTCAGCACTTTGGGAGGCCAAGGTGGGCAGATCACATGAGGTCAGGAGTTTGAGACCCCTAGCCTGGCCAGTAGGGCAAAATCCCATCTTTACTAAAAATACAAAAAATAGCCAGGTATGGTGACGTGCGTCTGTAATTCCAGCTACTTGGGAGGCTGAGGCAGGAGAATCGCTTGAACCCAGGAGGTGGAGGTTGCAGTGAGCCAAGATTGCCACTACACTCCAGTCTGGGTGACAGAGCGGGACTCTGTCTCCAAAAAAAAAAAAAAAAAAAAAAAAAAAAAAAAAAAAAAATGCAGATTTGATCATGGTAACCTGTGAAAACCTTTCATTGATTCCCCCATGGCCTGTGAGATTCGAGGTTTTCTGTGAGCTGGCTTCTGCTTACTTCTTCCTCTTTCTCTCACTATGTCCTCAACTTTACTTCTGTCCCAAAGGAAGAGTTAGAATGAGTCCAAAGTTTTTGGCCCAAGCAACTAGAAGGCTAAAGTGACTATCAGGTAAGATAGGGAAAACTGTAGGTAGAACAGGCTTAGGGAAGATTGGGGATTTGAATGTGTTGAATTGAGAAATTGATTAAATATCAAGTGGAAATGTCAAGTAGACAGATATGTAAGTGTGGAGTTTAGAAGAAAGGTCTGGGCTAGAGATGGAGATTTGGGAGCCATCAGCAGATAGATGTATTTACAACCAAAAAACTGGATGAGATTTTTTCGGAAGGAAACATACTGTTTCTGCGCGAACTAGTAAGGTAACCAGTTGCCAGTATGGCTGTTCACTTGAAATGTGGCTAGTGCTTCTGAGGAATTAAACATTTAATTTTGTTTTGATTAAATTTAAACAGCCATAAGTGGCAAGTGGTCACTATATTGAATGGAGCAGATGGAGGGAAGGAGTTTAGATGGAGAAGAAAGGAGGGCCAGTGGCTGGGCTCTGGGCATTCCACCATTAAGAGGTCATGGAGATGAAGTGGGAACATCAAAGGATACTGAAAAGTAGCAAGGGGAAAAAAAAAAACAAGTATGTAATTTTCTGGAGACCAAGTGAAAAAGGTATATCCAGAAGGAGCAAGTGATCAGCTTAGTCAGATGTTGCTGACAAGTCAAGTAAGATGAAACTTCTGCCTCAGATCATTAGGCATTAAGTTTCATAAGGAGCAAGTCACCTAGATCCCTCCCATGCACAGTTCACAGTAGGATTTGCACTCCTGCAAGAATCTAATGCCTCCACTGATCTGAGAGGAGGTGGAGCTCAGGCCCTAATACCCGCTGCTCACCTCCTGTTGTGCCCCTCTCCAGTTCCTAACAGACCGCAGACTGGTATTCGTCCTCAGCCTGGAACTGGGGACCCTTATCATAATTGACACTCTACCGTAACAACCTCTTCATCATTGGTAGGTTGTGTGACTGTTTATTTATTTTTTTTCTATAGATGGAGTCTGGCTCTGTCACCCAGGCTGGAGTGCAGTGGCATGATCTTGGCTCACTGCAACCTTCACCTCCTGGGTTCAAGTGATTCTCCTGCCTCAGCCTCCCAAGTAGCTGGGATTACAGGCACCTGCCACTACACCTAGATAATTTTTGTATTTTTAGTAAAGACAGAGTTTCACCATGTTGGCCAGGATGGTCTCGAACTCCTGACCTCAAGTGATCCACCCACCTTGGCCTCCCAAAGTACATACAGGCATGAGCCACCATACCCTCCCTTGTGTAACTTTTATCGGGGTATCTCTGCAATTTAGAGACTATCTGAACATTTAAAAATACCCGAAATAGCTGATTCTGTTTCAGTGAAGTCTCACAAGAACAAATACTCTCTCAGTTAATTCCTCAAGGTATTTTAGAAAGAGAGAGACAGACAAACAGGAAGGAAAGGTAGGGTTGGGTTTTTTGTGTGTGTGTGTGTGGTTTATGCAGAAGCATGTATACTCCTTGATTAAAGATGTTTCTGGTTAGTTTTGTGCAATAACATTCAAAATGAATGCTTCTGCTTGATGTAGTTTTAGTGTCCAATGAGTGATTTAACAAAATTACTTGCCTGGTAAGATAATTAATTTTATCTTCTTTTGATGGCATGAGAAAAGAAAAACAGGACAAACATTAATAGTTTTGAAAATAATTTGATCTCCGTCTTGGTAATATCTGCAGAAGGAGCTAATAAGGAGGAACATTCACTTTTTTTTTTTGAGGCGGAGTTTCACTCTTGTTACCCAGGCTGGAGTGCAATGGCGCGATCTCGGCTCACCGCAGCCTCCGCCTCCTGGGCTCAGGCAATTCTCCTGCCTCAGCCTCCTGAGTAGCCGGGATGACAGGCACACACCACCACGCCCAGCTAATTTTTTGTATTTTTAGTAGAGACGGGGTTTCACCATGTTGACCAGGATGGTCTCGATCTCTTGACCTCGTGATCCACCCGCCTCGGCCTCCCAAAGTGCTGGGATTACAGGCTTGAGCCACCGCGCCCTGCCCGGAACATTTACTTTTGTTATGAAGCCATTTTGATAAGGATTGAAACAGGAAACAGATTAAAACAACACAGTGCTACCCAAGGGAAGCTAGTGACTGAGCTGACGTGTTGACATGTCCGGCGTCTGCTACGCTCACGTTTGTTTGTTTGTTTGTTTCCATGCTTTCCTTTTCTTGGTTTATCCAAAGACTCAGAAAAAAATATTTTAAGAAAAGATGGAGTTCCTAGAAGCACCATTAATTTCTGTGTCTCATTCTTTTTTTACATTCAAAATTCTAAATGTTTCTAGTTCCCATGTTTTGGGGATATCCAAATATGCCAGTTCTTTCAAAAATGCTTTGAGGTCCTTGGACAGAGGCCATTATAATACCACTGTAGTATTTGACAAAGGGCCTATAAATGAAAGCAGATGTGTAGTATTAATACAAACATGAAATACTGCTGTATTGATACCATGTCACAGTGAGGCACTCCGTACCCTCTTGAATATAAAATAATATTTCTACATTTGGTTCCAGCAAACACTATTGTGCTATTCTGAAATCCACAGCACAGAAATTATAAGACATCCGCTCATAAACAGAAAGCAAATCACTATTCAGCATTTCCTGCTCTGTTTCCTGCCAATTTCAGATAATTAAAACTTTTTTTAAACCTTTTATTCTATTCTGCTTTAATTCTGCTTCCTCCACCAAAAAAAAAGGGGAAGATTTAGAAATTAAAACTCTGTGTATATAAGTCACAGTCCTTTTTTTTTTCTTCTCCTTTGATAATATCTCATTCTTCGTTATTGCAGACCTCAGGATATCATTGTGTTTGTAATTGGAGGAGCCACCTATGAAGAGGCTCTAACAGTTTATAACCTGAACCGCACCACTCCTGGAGTGAGGATTGTCCTGGGAGGCACCACAGTGCACAACACGAAAAGGTAAAGGAGAATATTCACTCTACAACTGTGTCCTCTTTCCCAGAGGATAAAGCTTACATTCCCTATATGCTGGAAAAATTTGGTCAGTACTAACCAAACTGCTGTAGACCGAAATGCTCTGGTGTTTGCAGCACCCAGAATAATTTAAGAGTTTTTGAGACAAAGGACCTATAGTACTTACGTTTGTTACATTCATAAATCTCTTTATTAGGTCAGAGACCTAGAAAGAAAGAACCATCTCACACTGTTAACAATTTGTATATCCTGTGTTCAAAAAAGGAGAAACCCTTGGACCTACTTAATAACCAGAGGCTTACACTTTGAAAATACTTAAACATAATGGTATTGAAGTCTGTGAGTTTTTCTCTTTTGTTGATTAACTTTATTCACTCAGTAAGTATTCAGTAAGAAGAATACAAAGATGAATAATCCAAAGATCTTACCTCAAGCCGTTGTCTATTAGGAAAGAACATTTAAAAATAAGAAAGTAAGTGCCTCGAGAGGCAGATAAAAGAGGCAAGAATTCTCAGAGTCACTAAGAGAAATAGAAGATAGTATATTAGCTGAGCCTTGGGTGAAAATGGGCATATGGAGTGAGAGTACATTCTAGGTAAGAGTTAACCACATGAACAAGTTATAAAAGCTGTAGGCAACATACATACACAAAGAACAGCAAATTGTGTGTGATAAAGTGAAAAGATGATTGAATGCCATAATTGTGGAAGGTCTTGAACACCAGACTTAGGAATTCCTACTTTTTTATATAGAAAATGGGGAATTATTGAAAGCAGTGATTACAAGAAAGTCACAGTGTTTTAGGAACATTAATTTCACAGCTAAAGGGTAGGTAGGAGAGGAAGAGACTGGAGAACTGTGACATGATTGTTGAATCTAAAGATTAGGGACCCTGAGAGATCCATATTGAGCCATGTATGCATAGATTATTGGGAGTCATTAAAAGTATTTGTATACTTTTTTATTTTGTGTTATTATTTGGTTTTTAATATAACTTTTCTCCTTTATTGTGGAAGTCATATATGCATATTCTGAATTTTTTTTTTTTTTTTTTTTTTTTTTTTTTTTTTTTTTTTGAGACGGAGTTTCGCTCTTGTTACCCAGGCTGGAGTGCAATGGCACGATCTCGGCTCACCACAACCTCCGCCTCCTGGGTTCAAGAAATTCTCCTGCCTCAGCCTCAGCCTCCTGAGTAGCTGGGATTACAGGCACGTGCCACCATGCCCAGCTAATGTTTTGTATTTTTAGTAGAGACGGGGTTTCACCATGTTCACCACGATGGTCTCGATCTCTCGACCTCGTGATTCACCCGCCTCGGCCTCCCAAAGTGCTGGGATTACAGGCTTGAGCCACCGCGCCCGGCCGCATATTCTGAATTTTTAATTCAGAAAGTACAAAGAGAAAAAAGCCTTCCACAATCTAACCACTGTTACATTTTAGTCAAAGCTTTTTTTTCTAAGCCCGTATAGATGTTTATGTGAGTGTGTGGGCAGAAAGGGATCTCATCGTACTTCCTGTCTTTTAACTTACATTTTGCAGTCTGATGTAAACATTTTCTAGTGTTAAATATATAATCATTCATTAAACAAATATTTATTGGAGAGTATCATTTCTTGGGTTTGAATCCTGATTTCCCTCTTACTATTTTTGTGAACTTGGGCAAATTACTAACCTTTTTGTTAGTGTCCAGAACTCACTGGCCATTTATATATATATTTTTGTGAATTGTTAGTTCATGTTCTTTGCCCATTTCACAATTGGGGTATTCCTTTTATTTCTTAATAATTTTTAAAATTTTTTATGTGTATAAATAAAGTCATTAGCCTTTTGTCTATTATATATTTTACAAATCTTTTTCCATGTAGAAAAATATAATTATATTTTTGTTTTATACTATTCACAATGTTTTGTTGTATAAAAGTTTTGTTGCCAGGCATGGTGGCTCAAGCCTGTAATCCCAGCACTTTGGGAGGCTGAGGCGGGTGGATCACGAGGTCAAGAGATCGAGACCATACTGGTCAACATGGTGAAACCCCGTCTCTACAAAAAAATACAAAAAAAATTAGCTGGGCATGGTGGCGCGTGCCTGTAATACCAGCTACTCAGGAGGTTGAGGCAGGAGAATAGCCTGAACTCAGGAGGCGGAGTTGCGGTGAGCCGAGATCGCGCCATTGCACCCCAGCCTGGGTAATAAGAGCGAAACTCCGTCTCAAAAAAAAATAAATAAATAAAGTTTTGTTGTTATTATTTTAATTTTATATTGTCACAGCTACCAGTGATTTCTGCCTTTGGTGTCATGCCTAGAAAATTCTTTCCTACCCAAGATTATATAAATACTAATATGCATTTTAAAAATTATTTTTAGGATACATAGTTAACATTATATCTTTACAATCTATCAGAATTTTATTTTGGTGTAAACTGTTCTGTGGGGTTTCCTTTTATAACTTCTACAGAAATATTACAGTGAGGGGCTTATTTCTTCTTGACGCCAAATACATCATGTCTTTCCCAACACCATTTCTACAATTCTGCAGACACCAACTGGATATCTAACATTTCAATTCTAACAGTGTCTACCTAGAGCTAGCATCTCATCTCGAAGTTAAAAGAGTTTCATCCCACAAGACCACCCCCACTTCAAATGCCAGTCACAAGTCCCAGACCACCCATATTTCTGAGTGACTGGCTGTAAATCAGGGGTTCCCATGACCCCTTCCTCAGGTTTGATAATTCACTAAAACAGCTTACACAACTCAGGAAAATACTTCACTACATTTGCCAGTTACTATAAAGGATACAACTCAGGAACAGTCAAATGGAAGAGATGCATAGGGCCAGGTATAGGGGTGGGGTGTGGAGTCCCCACTTCAGGAACACCACCCCGACCCCAGCACTCCGATATGTTCACCAACCCAGAAACTCTTGGAACCCTATTGGGTAAGGGTTTTCATTATGGAGGTTTCATTATGTGGGCATGCTTGATTAAATCACTTGCCCCTAGCGATTGATTGAGGCTGCAGCTGTTTCCCCTGCCCTGGAGCTTCAGGGATGGGGCTGAAAATTCAAAGTTTCTTATTAAGGCTTGGCCTTTCAGGCCGCTAGCCCTCATCCTGAAGCTACCTAGAGGCCCACCAAGAGTTACCTCATTGAAACAAAAGACACTCCCATCACTCTCAGTACTTAGAAAATCCCTAGGGACTTAGGAACTCTGTGCCAAGAATGGGGACAAAGAGACCAAGTATCTCTCTATGATGCCACATACATGCACTTATACATTATGTACAGAAAAGTGTATACATGATAAACAGCACAGTAAAATATTGCAAAGTGAATTTATCTATGAAACGACCACTGAGTGTAATCAAGAAATAGCACGTTATCAGCACCCCCAGAAGTCTTGTGCCTCATGCTCCCTCGTCACAATTCCCTGCTAAGTATTCATTAGTATGACTTCTGTCACTGTAGGTTAGTTTTACCTGTTCTTAAAAGACTTTTTTTTTTTTTTTTTTTTGAGACGGAGTTTCACTCTTGTCACCCAGGCTGGAGTGCAATGGCGCGATCTCGGCTCACCGCAACCTCCGCCTCCTGGGTTCAGGCAATTCTCCTGCCTCAGCCTTCCGAGTAGCTGGGATTACAGGCGTACGCCACCATGCCCAGCTAGTTTTTGTATTTTTAGTAGAGACGGGGTTTCACCATGTTGACCAGGATGGTCTCAACCTCGTGACCTCGTGATCCACCCACCTCGGCCTCCCAAAGTGCTGGGATTATAGGCGTGAGCCACCGCGCCTGGCCTCTTAAAAGATATTTGTTGAACAAAAGAAGAAATAGGCCGGGTGCGGTGGCTCACACATGTAATATCAGCACTTTGGGAGGGCAAGGTCGGTGAATCATTTGAGGTCAGGAGTTCCACACCAGCCTGGCCAACACGGTGAAACCCCGTCTCTACTAAAAATACAACAATTAACTGGGCATGGTGGTGGGCACCTGTAGTCCCAGCTACTCGGGAAGCTGAGGCAGGAAAGTCGCTTGAACCTGGGAGGTGGAGGTTGTAGTGAGCTAAGATCACACCACAGCACTCCAGCCTAGGCAACAAACATCCTTTTAAATGAATATCTCACTTCTTTAGAAAGTTAGAGGAATTGCCCAGGGTCAGCACAAAAGGGAACCAAAATTAAGCTTGATAAGTATAAACTGATGCTCTGACTATCTAATAGGCATGTGCCAGTGTTATTAAACAAGAGCACTGTGTTTTAGTAGCCACGGAGGCTCACAAATAATACAAGAATCTTAAAATGTTTTAACTCTAATCACTTCCTCCCAATTTGTACACTATCATTGTCCAGTGTTTTGGTTTTACCTTTTTAAAATTCCCAAATTAATCATTATTTTCAATAGTTAATGTTTATTTATATTTACCGGCATATTCCCCCCCCCTTTTCCCCTCTGCTTTGTTTCTTTCTTCCTGGCTTTTCCTTCAATCCAATTTTCTTCTTACTAAAGAACATTCTTGCCTGAATCCCATGCCTGTCATCCCAGCACTTTAGGAGGCTGAGGTGGGCAGATCACTTGAGGTCAGGAATTCGAGACCAGCCTGGCCAACATGGTGAAATCGCATCTCTACTAAAAAATACAAAAATTTAGCCAGGCATGGTGGCACATACCTGTAATCCCAGCTTCTCAGGAGGCTGACACTAGAGAATCCCTTGAACCAGGGAGGTGGGGGTTGCAGTGAACCAAGATCGAGCCACTGCACTCCAGCCTGGGCAACAGAGAAAGACACCGTCTTTAAAATATATATATGGAGAGAGAGAGAGAGAGAGAGAGAGAGAGAGAGAGAGCGAGCAGATACTATATGCTAGGCACTGTCCTGGAAGTACTTTAAATATATTAACTCATTGACTCCTCACATGAAGTTTGTACTACTATTATCTCTACTCTGTATATGGAAACTGAGGTACAGAGAGATGAACTTACTCAAGTAA